TGAAATTAATTGATTGATTGATTATCAGTCGCTCTCTTGCTAATTATGACTAAAACCCAATGGGCTCGGAAGCTGTGGGGAAGATAACATTGTATAATAGGGGAAGGCCGGCTTTATAAAATGAAGCGGACATCGAACGACTGTGAGGACATTGTCCCCCTGTCCTCTCAACCTTCCGCGGCCACTGTTCATGCAAGCAAAACAATGTGCTAGCTACTCAACCCTTTCAAATTTTGGACATTGCAAAGGAAAAAAAGTTGCGTAATGAATAATTTGCGGCTAAAACTTGACCAAAGTCACCCACGTGGAGGTAAACCCACGTTTCGCGTATGCACCAGATTTCAAGAATGAGGCGTGTGAGCGTATAAATACGGAAAGTGAGAGGTTAGCTAAATACGCGAGGAAAGAACAATGCCCAAATATTTTACGACGCTGATCATTTCCACGATACGAGCCAATCCTCGAGATCGATCTGAGATTCGAAAGAGTGCAACGACGAGAAACAATGAATCACGATCTAATTTTGCTTTTTGCATGCGTATGAAATTGGTGGAGGAAATCAATCATGCATTTCATTTAGCGTTATGCATCTTAATTTAAACCGTTTGACTGTGCGCGTAGGTAAATTAGTCGCTATTTTACTCGCGAGGAATGGAGGTGGACCAGCGTATGCGATCCAATTTTGGGCAAATTGGTGTGAGTCTATTGTAAATTTAACTAGTATGAAATTTGCAAAAGACGCGATCTCCTAATGGGCACGTTTGGCAGAGATACATATTTGCATCCGAAGAAGAAAAAACGCGCAGTAAATTTGGAGAGGGTAAAATTTGTCGACTTTAAGATGCATTTTCTCCCCTTTGGATGCAGGTATTTCTGCCAAACGTGCCAATTTGGAGATCGTGCCTTTCGCAAATTTTACACTACTTAAATTTGCGAACGATGGGCACGAATTTGCTCAAAGTCGGATCGCATACGCTGGGAGACCTCCATTCTTTGTGAGTGAGCTGCACTTCAAACCGCAAATAAGCTTCGATTCTGTGGTGACTTACCATATTCGTAGATCGGCTGACTTTGGGTTTGTTACGCAATTCTGGTCTGAACCAAATTGCATGCGAGAAGAATGTCAATCACGAGTGGGGAATGAATAAAAGAGATCAACCAGGATTTAGATATTTTAATTAGTTAAGTAGCATTTTTGAGATGCGTAATTAATTACGCATGCAAATTGTATGGGATCAGTTAAGAACTCAAGTTTGCATAAGTACTTATCTTCAACTATATAAATCTGTTTATAATATTTGAATTTGAATATCTGAACGTTTTCATGAAATATTTACGATGCATGAAAATTCATCGATAACAAAGACATGTACCTACATATTCATGGAAATAAATTATTTTTTTGCAAAAAGTTTACTATTGGCGTTGCATCATTTCAATATCGAAACTGACTGCAAAAACTCGTATAAAACGACGACATTGCATCTTTTGCATTTTTCTTTAAGGATAAATTTCGAGTAATATTAGTTAACTTGGTTGCACCCAGTTTTAAATCCCACTAAAAATTGAGGTCTCTCCGGGTATATTTTCAGATTTTGAGAAAAACCAGTGCACAAACTAGCGTGTGAAGCAAACTTTAAGAAGAATGCACTCTTAAAAATCTGTTAGAGTCACATAAATACTCCGTTCTGGTATTGATTTGGTAATAATTTCCTACCAGATTGGTAGCAAATTGCTCCTGAGTGGTAAATCATTCATAACCACAAAATTACTGAACGGCAAATTAGAAGAGGTGGTCCCTTTGCCGATCAGAGAAATCACTAACTTTAACCATGCCTACTCTTAGGCAACTGGTATTGAATTAGTACGAATCATTACCCGACGGAGTACATAAATGACTCTACCGGCATCGGTAATATCGATTGTTACGGCGTGGTAATGAAATCTATACCACTCAGAATTAAACTATAACCAATTCGGTAAGGAATTATTACCAACACGGAGTACATATGTAACTCTACCGGATAGAATGAACCCAATTGTACGCAATCCATGAAACGCTTCATTGTTTACCGTACGTATAAACCATGGAATGTCCTACCGAAAGACTGGCAAAATTCCTTATTCAAAATTTTTCGACAATGTGAACGAGTTCATTATCAATGTGCGCTAATTAACTCATTACGTTATATCCATGATTCATAGTTTTATCCTAGTTGTAGTTAGCTATACTGATATTTTACTTACTTATTTTACAAATTTATATTCGAAATCATTTGTCTTCTGGAGTCCAGAACTGAAAACCATGCAGCACTTGTGCTGACTCCTTTAATAAAAACACTCAACCAATTTCCGTTAATACCAGCGCCGGTAGAGTCACACATGTACTCTGGTCGGTAATGATTTAATACCAGTTTTCTAAGAGTGTGTCAGTCATGAGTGGTAAATGAATAGAAGAGATCAACAAGTATTTGTATTATGTGAGGAGGATTCCTACCCATAGGGGTAGACATCCAGCTGCGCAGGTCACCAGTTGGACCTATTGCAGACACAACAAGTATTTGGGAATTTTAATTAATTAAGTAGCATTTTTTTGAGACGCGTAATTAATTATGCATGTAAATTTTATGACATCAGTTGAGAATTGAAGTTTACATACTTATCTACAGGCTATGAATTTGAATTTGAGGATTTTAAATATATTTCATGAAATATGTTTAAGATGCATGAAAATTGTTCGATAACAAGGATATGTACACCTACATATTCATGCGAATTAATTAATTTTTTGCAAAATAAATTGTATTGGCGTTGCATCGTTTCAATTTTAACATGGGTTGCAAAAACTCGTGTAAAATAACAGTTTTACATTTTGCTTACAATTTACGGACAAATTCTGAATAAAATTAATTATCTTGGTTGCACCTACTTTTAGACCCCAATGATAATGGAGGTTTCTCAGCGTATGCTCTCAGATTTGGAGCAAATTAGTGTCAATCTATCAGAAATTCTGGTCTGAACCAAATTTATTTCAGATTTTTACACAAAAAATGCAAAAAATGTAAAAAGAAATGTAAAAATGGCTTTAATTTTAATGCTTGGACCATATTCCTGATTCCGTCTGTGACGTGAGAAATCTTATTTAAATTGTTTCTGAAAGGGTCTGATATTTGCAAGAATTTGACAATTCGTGATGAATTCTGATTTCTTAGAATTTAAGAAATTATATTAAAAACGTAAATAAAATTTGGAAAAATCCACAAATCATGCCAAAAAAATGTGACGCTGGAGAAAGCATGAAGTCTTCATAAACTTTCTCTGCAGCCAAATTGATCTTAATTTTTGACAAGATTATCGCCACGCTGACGACAAATATGGACCAGATGAGAAAAATGACCATTATTTATTTAGTTTTGCCCTTAATTCAGGGGAAAACTGAATATTTATCATCCTCCTCTCGCAGTCATCGAATATCGAGGTTATCCCGTCCCATTGTGTTCTTTTCTTCCCTTTGTTGGACTTTGAGATGAAATAATGGTCCCGCATTGTTACCACCTTCACATCCAATCCAATTTATTTCTCAGGGATGAAAAGAAGTAAATAATTTTGGTAATAAATTGCTAATCTGGGGTGAAATATGGGAGGAAAATGGTCTAATTATTGGGGCTCGACATCTGCCAGGGACGCCCACCTCGTTCTTGGCGAGCTTGTTACGGGGGAAAGAAAACAGGACACGGGGTAAATATATTGTAGAAGATTTCATGGAAATTCGATTTCCAAAAGTCGATTGCAGGTTTAAATTTCAGCCAGAACCTTACCAACAATTGAGTTCTCTGAACATATGCGATCCGATTTTGAGCCAATTAGTGTGAATCGATTGAAAAAAATTTAATTAGTATTAAATTTGCAACAGGTACGAGCTCCTAATGGCCCTTTTTGCTAGAGATGTTTGCATCCGAAGAGTGGACATTAAAGTTGAAAAATTTTACACTTTCCTCATTTACTGCGCGTTATCTCCCCTTCGGGTGCAAATATCTCTGTCAAGCGTGCCCATTGGGAGATCGTTTCTTTCACAAATTTCATACTAATTAAATTTGTCATCGATTGTCACTAATTTCCTCAAAATCGGATCGCATACGCTGCGAGACCTCCATTCTTAATCGTAATTTTAAACTGAATTACAAACGTATCAGTAATCTCTTTACAATTTTTGATTTTCTCCGGTCACATTTACTGAGAACTCATACATACATAGTTTATATTTCCGAAACCAAGATGAAGTACAAGGATGCGAAGGATCCGATTCCGTCATATATTTCAGAAAACCGTTTCGTGTGACATCGCCTCGCCCCTGGTCGGACAAGACACTCCAAACCCATAAAAAGCCCAGGTACACAAGTTTATCTATTCCTATTTATACCTACCTACAAAATATACCTACATATTTCCCAGGTAGTAGCCAGCCAGCCTCACCAGGTATGTACGGATTAAATAACCCTTTTCATTCCACTCTTCCTAACCACACCACAACGTCTCCTTGTTCCTATTTCTTTACATACTTCCATCCATACGATCCCATCACATCGACGCCCTCGAGGTACATACAAACTCACTTGTTTTTTACCATTTCAACCAACTTCTCACACAACACAACATATTTAGCGAGCCGGCTTAAAGAAAACACAGTACGGACGTAAATACAGACATGCAATACAATCCAATCCCCCAATACACAGGTAGTCGTCGTCGTCGTGGTCCTGGGGGTACCTCTCGCGTATGGATGGTCATCGCATCGCATGATGACGCCGTTTCCATACCGTAAAGCAAACCGTGTTGTTTTCCATCCACAATTTTCATGCATTCTTCTCCTTCGTCGTCTTCTTCTTGGTATTCTATTCTATTGTTGGTCTATAGAACTATGTAGATAGTTGGTCGATAGATCTCTGTACATACTTACGTATTTATTAGTGGAGTGCATATCTATGAGGTTTGGTTGGCTTGGTCGGTCCATCCAAGTCAGTAAAAGTTCAGTCAAGAAACTTGTTCCCTCCTGTGTGCTTGCACTTCTTCTTCTCGTGTGGCGATCTGTCTGCATTGCATGCGAATGCGAAACTGGTCGCGGAATAATAGAATAAGAAGAATAAATATATACATTCCTTCCCTGCTGCCTATAACTACCTGTTTTTGGCGTTACATTTCAAATTAAGCTGTTGTTCAAATAATTTGCGACATTTTTCTAAGAATGTTTGGGGGAGGAGGAGGAGGAGGAAATTGGGAAATGTGAGACGGCACGGAAATATTTTTTTTTCGGGGGGATAATCATCGCCACTATTTTTTGTGGGGGAGTAATGTGGGGATGAAATTTTGAGAATTTTGTTTGTCCTGGTGGTCCCGTGTGAAGTAATGAAATATGACAACGTTAAGGATTTTTTTGAACCGTGTGAATTATTTGAGCAGGATTAAATAAGAGAAGCTGTGTGTGTGTACAAAGTGTGTGAATCGTGGCGTGGTTTATGTGGCATGTGGGGGTGGGTTTGTTTTGACTTTAAGTACATAAGAAGTGGGGGTGGTGGGAAAGGAAATAAGACGTGATTTTGAGATAAAACTGAATATTCATAGTTTTTCTAGTGAGTATTTACTGACTTTGGACTAATCTGTACTTATTTTGAGTGTGGTGTGCGTATTTAGAAGGATACATTTAACTCGGCTTATTTAAGGTGAGTCGATACAATTTTATTTACTTAAATTGAGACACATAAATTAAAATATTTGTAGGTGAAGCTTGCTCGAAATATTATTTGACATTAAGTTATTAAATTTAGTAAATACTTTAATTTTAATTGAATTCATATTTAGCATTAAGTATTCACAATTAAGTATATCGTAAGTCTTACGTTGATTTGTATTTTAGTAAAATATTGCATTTAACCTGGTAAAGTTTTACTTAAATTGATACATAAATTGTCACATAAAGTAGAATATTTCCAGGTAAAGGGTATGCCTGAAATACTATTTAACGTAACGTAGCTTAAATTTATTTACGTTAATTTAAATTGGATCCGTATTTATCATGCATTCTACAGTTATAGCGTAAGTCTTAGGGTTACATATTTATATATTTTAGTGAAATATTGCGTTTAACCCTTTTTTACGGTAAAAAAGGATCACATCGCCGCACAGACCGAGACTAAATGTATGTAATAATAGCCCTGAAAAGAAAGATACAAAAGCCCAGCAGGTAAATATAGCCACGTATTCAATCAACCCTTAAAAGTCACCCCTTCAATCCAGGTGCTGGGTTTTCCATCCATTAAGAAATAAATTCTTATTCGGAGTGATGAACCTCTTTTTACGACATGTTCTCATTCTCTCTTGAATTTCTTTAAAAAAAATTCAAAAATTAACAATTTACAAAAAATCAAATTAAACAAAAATTTAAAGTAAATTTTTTCGTAAGTTATTTTTTTTAAAAGGAACAAATCAGGGTTTTGCATCCAATAAATCTTTCTTCGGCAAAGTTAAGCCAAGTTTTTCGACAGGTTTTCAGTTTGTCATGAAATTAAAAAATTGTGTAATTTTTCGTTAAAAATTTTCAAAATTTGCTACGTTTTAAAAAATATTTTTAGCATTAGTCATTTGTTATTGATATTTCGTAAATCATTTTTTAAGAGAGGGACAAATCAAGTTTTTATATCTATTAAATCCTTCTTCGGAAAAGTTAAGCTTTTTTGACAGGTTTTCAAAATTGTGTAATTTATTTCTAAAAATATTTCAAAAATTTATTCAAAAAAATTTTCACCATTACTTCTTTATTATTGATATTTTGCAACTTATTTTTTTAAAGAGATGAACAAAGTAGTCGTCGAAACTTCATTATTAAATATTTTCTTAAGCACCACCACAAAAATTCTTGTCAGCACAAGAAAGATGATAAGTTCGCCATTATGGAATCGCTGAATGAGCAGAATGCAGAATTTGCGAGACAAAGCGTAAAATAAAACTCTTCAAGAAAATATGCACACAAATTTTATTCACCATTTTACATACTTGTCAAAACCACGTCTTTTTTTAAATATGTACACATGTTTACTTTTTATTATAAAACGATGATGGGTTTTGACTAGAGAAAAAAAGTAAGTAGTTAATTATTTAATTAAGTACACGCAGTAATTTAATTGTGGGATTTAAAATGCATTTTACTTCAAATAAAGTTTCGAGGAGGAGGAGAATTGCAAATACTTGTGTTGTCGGTCGCTAATTTTTTGCAAACAATACGGAATCATAGTTAATTATTTAACATGGGATTTAAAATTCGCAATTTTATCTAAAATATTTCGAGAGGGAGAAGATGAATTGTGAATAATTGTGTTGTCGCTAATTTTTTTGCGTACAAGTTAAGTAGTACGGAATACTTAATTAGAGGAGGATGACAACTTATTTAATTAACTACCCATTTAAGTAAATGTGGATTTAAAATTCGTCTTATTCTAAATGTTTCGTTCGAGAAGAATTGTGTCACTATTTTTTAAGTACTGCGGAATTATGATTGCTTAATTACAGGAGAACGACAACTTATTTAATTAACTACACATTTAAATGTGGGATTTAAAATTCAGTTTATTTTAAATATTTCAATTATGTAGCTAAATTATGCTTTTTGCGTATAATTTAAATAATACGGGATCATCGTTACTTAATTAGAGGAGGACGACTCCTTATTTAATTAAGTACACATTTAAATGTGGAATTTAAAATTCGTTATATTATAAATGTTTGGAGGAGGAGGAGGACAATTGCAAATAATTGTGTGGTCGTTGTCGCTAAATTTTTTTGCAATACGGAATCATCGTTACTTAATTAGAGAAGGACAACGACAACGACGAAAGTTGATTTTATTTCTTGCCTTAATAAATAAATTGAAAACCGGTGTGTGTAAACGGCAATTCGTTTACTGTAAAAAAAATCTGTGACTGCTTAAAGTTGGCAAATAAAATAATAATCAAGAAACTGCTTGATGATGATGACAAGTTGCGTTTCAAATGGCACCTAGCTAACTTTTAAGCGAGCAAAATTTCGCAATTGTTTATTATTTTTGCGGTAGTTTATTACAATGAGAATCAATTAGAGGAAATTGTATAATTGCGGGGATGACGATTTGTTTAACTAGACGGGAAATTAAATTAATTCCAATTAAAGTTTATGTAAACCTTTAATTTGCGGGAGGAGGAGGACATAATAATAATTCGCAAAGATTTTTTTTTTGCAAATTTTGCATAAAAGCAAGTAGCTAAATTCAATTAAGGACTTGTAGATAACAAAAATTTGAAACATTTTCTCGAAATTTTTCAATATTTCGAGCCTTTTGTAAATATTTATGCTATTTTTTCCCCATAAATATGTAAATTTTGTGTCAATATTTAATTGATTTTAGACGAAATTATCAATTCTGTCAACCGTTTTAGTCAACATAATTTGTGTTAAAAAATAAACCACAGAAAATTTTGGACATTGATCTTTTTTATTTAAAAAAAACTTATATTTTTCATTTTGTAAATTTTTACACAATTTTTCATAAATATTTTGCTAAAAAGTTTCGCTTCAAAAATTACTTTCATTCCGTTAATTATTATTTCCCCAAGAATGAAAATGATCTTTATACTTTATGAATTATTTAAAAGTTGATAAAAAATAAATATCGACTTTAACCATTGTCAACTTCTATATTTGCAAATTAATTATTGCAAAAAATTGCAAAAATATTTAACACGAGACAAACTTTTGATGCCTAATTTACAATGTTCAATCTGTCTACCAAAACCTCAATTTTAAATAACACTTTTGCATAATTCCAGTTTCATCTTGATTTACAAATCTTCTTCTTCGAATCTTCTTCTTTTCTTACAATTTTGTAATTTCCTGTACCGTGTAATTCAAATTGAGTAAGCTTTTTTTTACATTATTATTATTCATAATATGTGCAAAATTTTGCATCCAATTCAATTTACATAAGAAAAAAACTACTAAAAACTCCTCTATTTTGACGTACCTACACAGTGTTTCGGGTGAAGTAAAGTTAAGACTTGCAAGAAACAAGGGGGGGAGAAAGTGGTTTTTTGCAGGGGAATATTTTGACCTGGGAGAAATGCAAGGTGCAAGAAACCAATACCCCCTGCGGTAAATACTTCATACGGCGCGTGATTAAATGGTGCATATTTCTCCCACTTTCTCCCAGTTTCTTGCACCTTGCGTGGCTTCCTTTGCACTGCAAGAAATGTGGCAAATCTGCAAAAAATAACGGCCAGAAAGTGGTTTCTTGCAGGTAAATATTTTGACCTGCAAGAAATCCAGAAACCACGCCCCGACGCGGTAACTACTTCATACAGCGCGTGGCTAAATACTTAGCACACATTTCTCCCACTTTCTCCCACTTTCTTGCACTTCTTCCTTTTAACTGCATGAAAAATGCAACAACCCACAAAAAACGAAGCACTGTGTACCTACACGCAAATTTGTGATAATAAACTAGGCAATAAACACTCCTTGGTGTCAAGAAAAAGCGATCTAGTTATGCTCGTCCGACCCACCCACCCAACCAATATGCACACATCCAAATTTGCGATAAAAAACTTGTGCAAAATGGGAGCAGTTGTTGTTGTTGATTTCATTTTATTTTTCACTCTCCTTTTCATTCTTCGTATTGTGTTGCAGGCCTCCTTACTTGCTTGCCAGAGACGAAAATAAAATACAGTAAATTGTTCGCAAAAAAGGAGAAGAATGGCAAAATTAGCGAATAGCCAGCGTATGTACGTGCAGTGGCCGCGGAAGGGTGTGGACAATGCCCCCACGGTTGTTCGATGTCCGTATCATCTTCACATCTTATATCCCTCGAATGATAACGTCCCCACATGTCCCCCCACGGCATCCGCGGCCACTGCCTACGTACATGTGCACATTTTTAGAATTATTGTGTGCACCGTGGCTGATACGCAAATTTGCAACAGGTGGTCGTGGTCGCTTCTTGACAAAAAAGCCATGCTGGTCGTCTTGCAGTTTGCAGTTTGCAGATTTTTTTAGGTGAGAAAGAAGAATCGAAAATTGCAAGGCGAATTGTTCGCAAAAAAAGCATGCATGGGTTTCGAAGACAAAACTGCAGCAGAAGCAGCAGCCATATGCTGGCAAACGTTTATTTAGATAGATATTTATGTCACCTAAAGTATGATGAGATGATCAAGTAATAAATAAATGTATGTATTGAAATTGAAAAGAGATGAATTTACGTAGGGAGGTAGGTTTTTATTTAAATAGTATTCGCACCTCGAGTTTCGCAATAACCTGTGAAAAAATATGGGATTTGTTTGAAAAAGGGATTTTATTTTTGGTAACAATGTGTAATAAGCAGAGGGTGGATATGTATTTACGAAAAATTTCAGAAATATATTTCTACGAAAAATCGACGAAATACATATTTTAAAAATATATATTTAAAAATCTCTGATACATATGTTTAAACTTTACAAAAAATAATATAAAAACATTTACGAAACATGTACAAAAAAGTAAGAAATTTCACAAAATTTGTACTTTTTACTATAATTTCCTTTGGTTTTTTATGATTCAATTTCATTGAGCAAAAAAATTTTGTGTCGTTAAATTATTTACAAAATATGTACGTATTTTTGAAATAATAGGGGAAATATTGATATGTCGAAAAACCTAG